GTCCCTCATCTGACCTGGAGCCGGGATCAGGTGGCCACTTTGCTGCAGAATCCCCCTAATCAAGGGCTACAGAAACCTGAAGCCTCTTATCATTGAACTTTTCATAAAGGCCCCATTACAATTTTGCCAGAGAGGGTGCTTTATAGAGCTGGATCCAGGACAATATATAGTGACACTTCCTCTCTTCTTCCCCTCATTTCTGTCCGAAAACCTGGCCCCCAACACAAGAATCAGAGCCAAATGCTTCTAGCATAAACCACTATGATCAGCCTCTCCATTTCCTTCTTCACCTGTTTCTTGGTGTGGAGGGTTGGGTAGGATGATGGCTCCATTGCAGTCTCTGTGGGTAGATGAACACAAGTGAATTTGCATAGTAACAAGGCATAGAAGATGGACAGACCGCCCTGAGACCCAAACACAAAGATCATGTCTGGAACCAAGTGACAACCCAAATATTTTGGGCCAGGCTGAGATCCCTCCTCTGTGGACCTTAGCTCTCCAGTCACTCTGTACAGATGTGGCTATGTAAGCAGTCAGGGGTTTCCTCTGTGTCCCTACACATGCTTCAGGGGAACAAAGACCACCTCTTCAGGAATATTCACAGAGGCACAGGCTGTAACACAGTCGAAACCCCGAAGCCTGCCTGTGGTTTCAGCAGCCAGGAGAAAAATGGCACAATGCACAAGCACTCAGGTGTTGTGCTCCAGCTCCTCTGCCCTATTACTGAAAGGCCCAGCTCAAGCCCACCTCCTCCAGGAAGCTCTCCATCTCCTGCCCAGCACTCATTGTGCCTTCTCCAGACCCATTTTTTTGTTCCTATTTTACTCTGAGACTGAAGGCCAGCTTCCTTCCCCCTCTCTCTGGTCTCTGGACATTCTCCATTTTGTCTCCAAAGCAGACTCCTCAGTCTTGACCGCATGACTAATGATGTATCCTATAGGCACTGAAGGAATGCTCTAAGACAGCTGGAGTGCTACAACACTGTGAGATCACAGGGGAGGCCAAGAGCTCTCCAGGATACAATAGAATTTCCAGAGAAGGGACTGCTGATGTCATGGGGAACAGCTTTTGCCACCTTGCTAATTCATTCTCCCTGAACTGACCAGAAGCCCAGGTTCACTTTCCAGGAGCCTCTCTTGGAACATAGCAGATTCCATTCAGCAACTCCTCCTTCCAAAACCAGAGTTCTCTTAGCTTCATTGGAATGGCCATAGTACATCCCAAGTTGGGAACTTAACTATACTATCCAAACACTGCCCAAGAATGCCTCATTCCTTCCTCAGTATACCTCAATTCATCAACATGAGCAATTAACTACTATTGAACCACAGATGATACCCCAGCTCCTTTTACTCAGAGTTCAAATTAGGATGGAGTTCAGACACTTACATTCCTGATGAGTACCTTGGTATACTGCCCAATGCCCACATTTGTTATAGGACTGGGTGCAGAAAGGCAATGTGTCGCTTTAAGTAAGAGGTCTTACCCAAGACCTCTGACCATAAGAGACTTTAGAGGAACCACTCCTCTTCTTCCTCAAGACTGCTAATGATGGTGTACAGTCTTCAACTGGGAGCCACAGGCTACAGAGCCCTTCAAAAGGGACTCACATTACTAGGAAACTACAAGTTTCTGTTTCCTTTGCTTTTAAGGCAGTTAATTCAAATAGACACTGCCTAGCCAGGGACTAGCCATCCCACCCTGGACCTCACATCCTAGGTGCTTTTCCAGGAATGCTTTGAAGGTGGTTTTGTGGGTTCTACAGCTTCTGGTTTCAAAGTTAAATATCAACAAACACTGTATATCTCTCAGACAGAACAAATAAATAACAGTAATGTGTTTACATGAGTTCATCAGTGGCAAATCAACCCTGAGGAGTGGGAAACTAGGACTGTGACATGGCCTCTGTGGACCTAGACAGAGGGAGCAGCAGGCTCATGTTAGCATCCTCTGCAGAGACAGAGTGAGGTGGAATGGACACTGACCAGACTGAACCACCATCCTGAGCCCCTGCAAGTATGGTTACAAGCAGACTCCTAGTTAACATTCCAAGGAGCTCCTGCGGAGGCCATGGTCTTTGTCTGACCCTGTGTACCATTTAAGGTCAAGCATGCATCTGTCCAAGGGATGCGAAGTTCTTCCATTCAGCAGTTGACAGGACAAGGAGCCATGTTCAGGAATGGTGACTTCCTGCCATAAAATATGTGACAAAAATAATGTAGAATTCACCTGTGTGAAATATCAAAGGCCCTTCTGTGTGGTTTTGGGTGTATGTTAACCTTATGCAACAAACTTGAAGAGCCCAGTTCCTATATTCATTGGATTTATGATGATGATGCACTTGGAAATGCCTGCAACCATCCTGAACAGAGATCAGAGAGCTGGATTCACAGAGTGGAGGGAACATGACTGAACCAGGATTGCAGACTTGGGATCTGAGGTCCAGCTCTACCATGTACCTCCTGGATGAACTTGGTTCATCATTTTTCTTCCCATGTATATACCCTAGGGGGATGGCCAAGGAGCACTGTCTCTGGAATGACAGTGCCTGCCTCAGACCAGCAGGTCACCAGAAGCCAATTTAGCTCAAGCCAGTTCTCTGCAACAGGAGTAAAGATCACGAGATAGACAGCCTTTGAGAGAGTGCTCAGGCAGCAGAATCCCTGCACATGATCAGGAGATGGTGACTTAGCCACTTGCATTCCTTAGCTTAGTGCCCAGAAGAAAAGATGCCAGTGGGGCTGGAAGTGCAGGGCCAGGGGCAGCGTGTCCTTATTAGAACACTGAAAGGCAGGCTGCCACTGACTTCCAGAAGAACTGGGGATGTTGTCCACTCCTGGCTGTAGTTCAAGTCTGTCTTTTTCTTTCTTTCTCTCTTTCTTTCTTTCTTCCTTCCTTCCTTCCTTCCTTCCTTCCTTCCTTCCTTCCTTTCTTTCTTTCTTTCTTTCTTTCTTTCTTCCTTCCTTTTTTCTTTCTCTCTCTTTCACTTTTTTTTCTTCCTGTCTCTCTGTCTTTCTATTTTCTTTATTTCTTTTTGTTATTTTTGGTTTATAGAGACAGGGTTTATCTATGTAGTCCTGGCTCCTGGAACTACCTCTGAAAACCAGGCTTGCCTGGAACTTAGGGATCTTTCTGCCTATGCCTCAAGAGTTCTGGGATTAAAGGTGTGGGCAACCACTTCCCAGGTACAGTTCAAGAGTCTAAGGCTCTGTGCTAGGACTGTGATTCCACAGGAAAGAAGCAGGAGGTAGATGCATTCTAGTTTGATGACAAGGACAACTCCAGAACAGAGAGGCAAAGTGACAAACTAACCCAATCACACAGTGAGATCTAACCCTGGACTAGAGTGCTCCACACAGAGTCAGGGGACATTTCCAAGTAGGGTGACAGACAGATGCTGTACCCAGGCTGCAAAGGTGTAGTTGGTGGATGCTAGGATTCAGTCCTGGTATCTGACATGTATACTCTGGATTGTACATGGGCTTCACTCATTCTAACCCTCCTCACTTTTTTAAAACTTCACTTTGGTTTAGTTTTGAAGCCAGGGTCTCACTGGGTAGACTTGTCTGACCTGGAAGTTGCTATATAGAAGAGGCTGCCCTGAGCTCACAGAAATCTGCATGCCTCTGCCTCCTGAGTCCTGGGATAAAAGGCGTCCATCACAAGGCCTGCATTTCCCATTACCTTCTCTCTCTCTCCATCTTCCACCTTCGTCTCTCCATTTTCTGTCCTACATGGCTCTTAAAATGATGTTCAGTGCCTCACTAGGAAGCAGGACCACAGATACCCCTACTGCTATACTTGGAGGCTCTTCCACTGGCTACCTTCTGTCAATCCTGGACAACATGTAGGGTGTTAGTCTATGTGGCCAAGTACAGCTTCAAGGACTGAATGGTCTCCACTGGCTCAGGGTCCATATTTTCTTTTTGGAACTGAAGAACTGTCTGCACTGAAATGAGCTCACAGAATGGGAAGAGGGAGGGCAGGGTGCCTTAGCTGGGCTCTGAAGACAAATAATCCATTCATCCTTTAAGCCATAGGTCGTCTACACTGCAAACCTACCACATACTCAGTCTTTCTTGCCCAAAGAAAGCAGCATCAAAGAAATGGTCAGTTATCTTCTCAACGGAGGCCAGCATCAACCCACTCTCCTTCATGTTGGCCAGGCCAAACCTGGTCATACCCAGGTGTTCACCCTGTGCAAAGGATGATGGTCAACTGTGTCTCAAGTTACTCGAGGAAGTTCAAAACCAAACCAGGAGACATTATCCCAACACTAGAACCAGTAGGAACAGCCAAGCAGCTATTCGTGGCACCACTAAAAGCAGGTGGTTCTTAGTGCAGCTTCATAGCCATTGGGGCTTGATGATCCCAAGGACAAGGAGCCTGTCTCTTGTCAGTTGTGCCCAGATGGTGTGCCACACAGAATTAAAAATCTGAGTTTTAAAAGGGGTGTTGCTTCTCCTTTCCGATGATCATTAAGCTGATACTAGAAACAATTTAGCTAATCCAAGAAACGAGCAAACATACAACAGATCCACACAGGACCGCCACTGTCAATATCTTCTCATGTGAGGGAGGACTTCGTGAAGTCTCCCCTGAGGATTTACAGCCAAGTAATGGCTGTTGGGGTGAGGACAGACATACTCTTCAATGTTGTAAACACTGGTGAGTCCAGTATATTACATGTCCCTCAATCCTACCGCTGCAAGCAGCCCTAATGACAATCATTGGGTCATAAAAATAGGCATTCATTTATTCACTCATTCATTCATTCATTCATTCGTTTATTGGCCTTAAGATAAGAAAGTACAGCATTTCACTCTGGTTTTGAGAAACCCGCCAGAAAGGGATTTTTTTTTTCTTTTTTGATTAGCGCGCCCTGGTGCATTCTATGCAGGTGCCAGTAGGTGGCGGTGTAGCGGGAGGTCTCAAAGCAGCAGGTGAGAATCCTCTCTAGACCGACCTTGGCAGAAGAGGAAGCGGCACGTGCAGCGCTCTACGGTGGCCGAGGGACAGCTGCTGCTCTCTGAGCTCTAAATCCAGAATCGCCCGGGAAGCTGCAGCGACAGTGGCTTCTGTAGTTGGAGCCTGGAGAAGGGCGCCTGGCATCCGGCACCATGGTGAAGGAGCAGTTCCGGGAGACGGATGTAGCTAAGAAAATGTAAGACACGGCTGGGGGGTGGACGCTGGGGTCCCGGGTCCCGGGTCCCAGAGGGTTCCAGGTGAGGGACAGCTGTGAAGAGAGAGAAGAGAAAAGTTCCAGGATGGGATTTCAGATCTTTCGGGGTCCCTGAACTGTGGTGGAGAAAGTGGGATGGACCGAGCAGTGTCAGAACGGGTGTCCTGAGGCAGGACGCCACCTCCCTAGGCCCCGTGCTGACTCCTCTCAGGAACTTTTCCCTGGTACAAGGAGACAGTGTGTGCTGACCCAAGGTTGTCAGTTGTTATGCCTACATCGCGTCCCCAAAGAGACCACTGAAAACCATGGATGTCCAGAATGCAAAAGTAAAGTTTATTTCTGTTACAAGCCGTGAGGCAGGGAACTCATCCCAAACACTCACTTGTAGCTGTGAGGCTGGGAGGAGCTCCCCTTTTTTGTAAGGCTAGCTCTTAAAGTCACAGACCACCTAATTAATTCCCCCTCAACCCCCTTCCCTCTCCCTGAAAGAATTAAACGTTAGAAAGAAGAACGATCACCAGTCTCAGACCCCCCAAACCCTCAGCCTCAGCAGAACGTTAGAAAGAGGAATAAGCACCAGTCTCAGACCCCCAAACCGTTAGCCTCAGCACAAATATTCTTATGATATTTCTTATGGCATCAGCAGAATAATCTTGTGACATTATCTGGGTCTAGCAGAACATCCTGTGGCTATTCTAGGAAGAAAGGCAGCCCCCATGGAAAGTCCCAGTAACTATACTCCCCGTCCCCGGTACTGATTTTTAAACTAGCCAATTATGTATTGCCGTGAATGCTATGCTAATTTTGTGGGTTTTGCCTTTAAAAGATGCCTGCCATTATTGTTCCGGGCTCCTCTCACTGAATAGTGGAGGGGGCCCATTTGTGCAAACAATTAAATAAAGCCTCATGCAGGTTGCATCAACTGGTCTGGAGTCCGGGTTTCTGGGGCATCCACTGGTGAGGGTAGTGCCCTGAGTCTGGGGTCTATCATCTCCAGTTAGTATCAGTTCCTTTTTTCCCAGTCTTTGATCTTTTGTCTGTTCAGAAACTATGTCAGGAGTTTTAAGAGCTGTCTCTGGAGTTGGGATATTTTATGGCCAATTAGCCCACCAGGTGGCTGAACATCCTGACTTTGTAGTTGATATCACCATCTGGGAACCTGAAACTGGCCTGAGTTTTATCTACACTAAGATATCCTGGTTTAAGCTTCTCTTTGTCTGTAGGGAATAGAGTGGGGGTCTTACTGAGGTTTCACATTCCCCCCTTTCTTTGTTCCTGATGGGGCTCAATCATGGGCCCCTAACTACTTCTAACTCAAGGGGTTCTTCTTTACCTTATTCTTCAGGGTTAGCATACAGCTCGAATCCAGTCATGTCTACCGGTGCATACCCTCTCTGCGCCATGAGCTGGATTGTGTATAGTCTTTCCCCCATATATTGGAGAAGTTTATTTATGACATAAGGCCTGAACGTGATGGCCACAAAACAGAGTATTAAGGGCCCTTTGAGGGATGAGACCAGAGTAGTAAGCGAGGGGGACTGGAGTACCAGCACTCCAACCAGCTCTGAGTGCCTTCATGTTCTCTTTTTCTTTTGGCTAACACCTCTCGTACTTTGGCCATTGATTCTTTTAGGACTCCTGAGTGGTCTATGGAAAAACAACACTCTTCCCCTCATGTGGCACATAACCCCTTATCCTTTAAGAAGATAAGATCTAGCCCTCTCCTATTCTGCATAACCACCTCTGCCAGGGAAGATAGGGAGTCCTGGAGGTGCGATATAGAATTTTCTAATTTTTCTATGTCTTCATTGATGGAGAGACGGAGGCTGGAATTATGCTGCTGTTAGTTATTAGGGATGCCACCCTGGTCCCCAGCACTGCCAGGCTAGCTCCCAACAGCACTGATAAGGTAAGGGCTGTAACTGGCTCTCTCTTATAGTGGCCAGGATTGACAGGCTCAATCAAATTATGTATGATATAATTTGATATAACGTATGACAGGAGCACAAGTCTGACTAATAAACAAAACCGTCAGGTTTTATTGAGGACCGCGATATGTGCACATAGAGTCAGTCCGGAAGAACATGCCCACCACATATCCTCTAAGGGCAACAAATAGCCAAACTTATTTCCAAGTGGCTGAGTATAATTGCAGTGAATTTGATATTCTAGTGGGATCCGTCCCACACATAAACACTGGCCCTCTACCTGTTGGAGTGTTAGGGAGGCCTTTGTTTGCCAGCGGCTATTGGTGAAATTATTAAGGCCACTCCACGTAGTTAAAAGGAGATTTATTTAATGGCGTAACTTACAAATTAAGGGATAGGTAGGTCGTGGGGTCGGGGGAAGGTGTATCGCAGTCCAGCGGTGTTCTCTGGAGCTCTGCTTGGCCCACCTCCACCGTCCAGGGTCCCGGAACAGAGAGAGCGCTGGCCCATCCAGATCTCGGGTCTGCAGGCGCCTCCCTTGGCCCTGCCTTGTAGGCGTGACAGTTGCCGAAGTCTCAATGGGGGTTGGAACTTCCAGATCAAAGCTGGAATGGCTACCCACTACATTTCCCCCTTTTTGTCTAGAAATAAGAAAGTTCTAACCTAATACAAGACTATATACAAAGGAATGGTTATCAAATATTGTCCAGGAATAATGAGGGATAATCACCTAGATAAGATGGAACTACAACCAATGCAAACAATATCAAGCAAGAAACACATACTAAAATCCAGAGAAGTATAGAGCATAGGTAAATGGCATGTTACAAAGATCATTCCAAAAGGTGCCCTATCCTAAAGAACCTGAATCTAATACTTAATATGTTCTATCTACTAAGTTGTAACTATAACTGCTAGTCTTCAATCCCATCAAAGACCTGAGAAGGAATATAATGGTACCTGAGAAATGGTAGATGGATGCAAGCAACTTTCAGGAGTCTTGCAAGAGTAGACAGAGACAGCTGGCAGCTGGACAGTCACCTAATGTTTCTCAGCATTGTTGGTGCATTCAAATTGGCTACAGGCCTAAAGTATCTGACAGACCATTTTCAGAATCAGGAATTCTGAAAGACCATCTTACCCTGTCTTGGTAGAGTACAGTGGTCGCTTTCCTTGTGTCCCGCTTGTCCAGAAAGGACAGCATTGCATTTGTACTGTCAGCCATCGAGGCAAGGGCAGTTCTTTGCCCAGTAGGCCATTTTGTGCCAAGAAGACAAACTTCCAAATGGAAATGTCTTAGAAGCCCAACATTCTCTCGGGATCAAATTGGTGCAGCCAGGAGCAATTGTGTCTCACATCAACAGAATTCTAAGTTATTTAAATGCCATATTCTCTAGGTCTATGAAGTGTTTGAAGATTACCTGTCCATCTGACCTATGTATCCGTAAATCTGGATAACCTAACTAACGTAACTATAGAGATGACAAGCATAGGTAACTATAAATCTATAAGTCTTACCTACCGAAATAACCTAAGGACTAAGGCTTCACATGAACAAGGTAAACAGTCTATAAGCAAGTGTATGGTAAAGAACGATGACTTCAAAATTGTGACAATACACAAGATGTTATAACAGAGGTAGGAGTATATAGTGCGATATGCAATATGACAATAATCTTAAATATATATCAATATACCGAATATCCTAAACAGAAGTAGAACATACATAAAGTATGACAGATATAAATTTACATTTGTATCAATATACAAATATTTCAAATAAGAGTAGAAATATATGTACTAGCTCAGTCGGTAGAGCATGAGACTCTTTTTTTTATTTGTATTTTTATTTTGCAATAAAATTCAGTTCTACATATCAGCCACGGATTCCCTTGTTCTCCCCGCTATGGCCCCCCTCACCTTCCCCCCAGCCCACCCCCCATTCCCACCTCCTCCAGGGCAAAGCCTCCCCTGCGGACTGAGATCAACCTGGTAGACTTAGTCCAGGTAGGTCCAGTTCCCTCCTCCCAAGCCGAGCCAAGCGATCCTGCATAGGCCCCAGGTTTCAAACAGTCAACTCAGAGCATGAGACTCTTAATCTCAGGGTCGTAGGTTCGGGCCCCACGTTGGGCACCAGATATTGGTGAAATTATTAAGGCCAATCCACGTAGTTAAAAGATTTATTTAATGGCGTAACTTACAAATTAAGGGATAGGTAGTTCGCAGGGTCTGGGGAAAGTTTATCGCAGTCCAGCGGTGTTCTCTGGAGCTCTGCTTGGCCCACCTCCACCGTCCAGGGTCCCGGAACAGAGAGAGCGCTGGCCCATCCAGATCTCGGGTCTGCAGGCGCCTCCCTTGGCCCTGCCTTGTAGGCGTGACAGTTGCCAAAGTCTCAATGGGGGTTGGAACTTCCAGATCAAAGCTGGAATGGCTACCCACTACAAGCAGCACTGTTGGGGGTCAGCAGTAATGCTGTTTGTCCATTACTGCTACTCCCTCGTAAAAAGGGGTTGTGCATTATAGCAAAGCCAACAGGAAGTTGTTAAATTGGGCCTTGAGGCATTAAGGAGCACAAAGGACTTCTGGAGTAGGGAGAACAATGGATCCTGTCCATCTGCCTGGGAGGAGGTTGGGTCCTCCATAGGGAGTCTATGTGGTTAGATTCCGTGGTGGTATAATCTAGAGGCTTTTCAGTAATGCTGTGTCCCTCAGGCATAGTATGACTTGGCAGCGGAGGGAGGGGGTTGGGTACTGGGTTCAGTATCGTGTTGGGTCTCACTGCTGTTTTTACGGGGGACAAAGTGTGCCGGATAGTGAAAGTGAGTTCGGGATCATGCCCAGAACGGTACAGCCGTAGTCCTCACATTTTCCAGTGGTCCAATCAGCCCTCTTTCCCTCTTCAGTGAACTTAAATATTAAGGAGTTGCAACAACCTCCAGGGGTTACCCAGGGGTGATTGGGGAAGCATTCTTTGTCATAGCAGGGGCCACAGTCCACCCATCCTCTTGCCTTTCTGGCATTTTCCAGTTCCTGGCATATTCCTATCCCCCCAACTCACGGTAATCAAGTCAGTTTTTATCCGTGCCTCCCATCAAATGTATCCAGTTCTTACACAGTCCCAAGTGGCACAGTAGGCTAGCCCTGGGCCCCCACCTTTTTTAACTTGGTCCCGGCTCTGTGAATGTCCAGGGCATACATAAAAGTGTTGGTCCCTAGTTCTCTTTCTCTGGCCAGGAGTAGCACACCTGTACCCAGGGAAAGGTTCCTGGTCGGATGGGTCCCATGCCTCTCTTACCAGATCATAGAGGTCAACATACATGTCCAGGAACCAGGTGTCCTTGGGTTCTCTGGCTGAGGAGCTGGAGTTGGCAATGACACCGGTTTCTGTGTTAACTACCAGCCAAGTCTGGTTCCACGGCACGTGAGGGTTGCTGGAGTGACCCGCCCCCTGGAGGGCTCTCATGAACAGGATGCTTTGGTCCTGGACACGTGTGATCAGGACTTGGTGCTGATAAGCTTTAGGGACATCGAGACTTACCTACATCACATCAGATATGAGCTGACACTGTCCTCCAACTCTACATGGCTGGGATACATTATGTCTTCCAGGGCCAGGGGACTGCACTAGGGAGTGAGGCACAAGCCTAGCCTTGCTGGTTGAGGACAGAGACATAGATCATGGGCACCAGTTTGAGGATAGCTGCCCTGCTCTTTGGGAGTTTCACTGGGTCCCTAGCATTTCTTCTTCCTCGGGCTCTTTGGGACTCATCATGGACTCTATTAACCTTAAGCCATTCAAGTATACAAGTTCACTTTTCTTTATCTACCTGCAGGGACTACAGAGGAGGCACCATCCCAACTCTCCACCTTCACTGAGCAGGAGGAGCAGATGAAAAAAATAGAGAAACTCACCCTCTGGCTAAATAATATGACCTGCGAAAGAAATGAGCTGTGTGAATTCCTTGCCAATTACACCAACAAGGATTTGAACAACAGGTAGTCATTATTCCCAGTTCTCTGCTGACCATCTTAATACCACAGTATCAAGCCCAGGTTTCCTGAGGAACAGGAGGCTGAACATCCAGGATTTCCTGGTGCCTAAACTAAACTTCCTGAGTGCATTCAAGATGCAGAACTTGGAACCTGGGTAGGAGTGAGATAGGGACACAGGCTGTTCTGTTTCCTCCAAATGAAAAGCAGAGCCTGTGGCCTGAACCAGACTGAGGATAGGGACAGTAGTGTGTGAGCTCTCAACATGCATTTCAAGATGCCTTGACAAGTGTTGGCTTGTGGGAGATGCTAGGTCCTGTTAGTTTGTTGTGAGTCTTTGTACTTGACCAGAAGATGATTGTGTCTGAAAGCTCCTAGCAGCAGCTGGGGGGAGGGGCCTCGTCCCATTCATCCATCTCAGTTTGTAGCTGGAAGGCCTGGAGTTCCTCACTGCTTCTTTCTGGTCTTCTGCCTTATACTCTGAAATAGTGACACCTCCCTATATTTATTGGGGATTTTGATTGCATGTGGTGTGTATGTTTGTTTGTGTGTGTGTGTGTGTGTGTGTGTGTGTGTGTGTGTGTGTGTATGTGTGTGTCTGTCTGTCTGTCTGTATGTGTGTATGTTTGTGTGTGTGTCTTTGTGGGTCTATGTGCTCCTGAGTGTCTGGGCTCTGTGGTATGGTCTGTGGATTTTACACAGTTTCCAACAGATGGCACTGCTGAGGCTAGGGAAGCCCACTTTGAGCAGCACGCCTCTTGTGCACTGTGCTCATCTTGGTGCAACACTGGAATCCCCTGTAGAGCTTATAAAGCCATCCTGAAGTTGGGACTCCTCTCTGGAAATTCTCATTGTGTGCTCTGGTCCTCTGAGCAGCAATAGACACCAAATATGTGAATCCCTGTTATGAAGACAGGAGAAATGTCATCATAGGTTTCTGGTGGGCCCAGATATGTGGCACAGACTCCTGGGAACTTTTTGGAGAGCTAGTCTATAGCTCTAGGCCCACTGAGGGAGCTCATGTAGCCCTGACACCACTCTTTGGACCAGCTGCATCTTCTGGCTGGGGGACAGGATAGGGAATTTAGTAAGCACCAGGAGGTCCCAATGTGTAAGTGCCAGGCTGTGGCATATTGGGCTGGGGTAGTCCATGACCTAGCTTCATTCATGTGATCCTGTGGCCTTGTTCATGAGATTCTTTTCTCCTTGGGCCATGCCTTACCACAGGTTGAATTTTGAGCTTGAAATGCTCAAATTGAGCATAAGCAGGTGATGTCTGACCTGCAGAAATTGCCCATAGAGATCAGTGATGCCTTGAACAAGTGCAAGGGGCTGATTAAGGAGACAGAATCCTTCAGGTAAGTGCCTGATTTATCTTGAGAGGAACTGTCTCTGCCCTTATTTGTCCTTGACCCAAAGTGAGGGCTCTGGATCCAGCCTGTCTGCCTCTTAGCAAGCAGCCTGCCTTGTGGCCCTTGGACTTGTGCCTCTTTGACTCAGTTTTGCTAAGTGTGGAAAAACACTGAGGCCCTCCCATCATTGTCCTGCCAGCCTCGGGAGCCCTTAGAAAACTGGTTTGCACCATGAAGGGGATGTCTGGCACCCAGGTCCTCTGGGCACTGGCAGGGGCTTCACAGAACTGATTTCCATGGGACCTGTAGACAGAATTTATTCCTGTTAGGACTTCTGCCCTTTTTCCGAGAGTGTTTGCTCTCTACCTGCTGCTGATTTCCCAGTAAAATGAACAGTTAAGTACAGGTGTGCACTGCACCCTGTTCTCAGAGGCACAGGATCCCTTATGGCATCAGGGTTTTCAGAAGTACTTTGAATCTTTCTGGAATTTGATTATTCTCTGGATTTGGCCTGCATCTAAGTGATGCTGGCTTGGCTACTGAGAGCTCCATTCTTGGGCTGTCTGGGGTGTCTGAGACTTATCAAGGCTGGTGGTACTTGGAGGTAGGGAAGGCAAATGGAGGTTCTCTGGGGCTCACCATATTTTGGTGGTTGTTCAGTTACATCCACGGCTGGGTCCTATGAGATTGGACTCAGCTAAAGAAGAATGTACATGTATTGAGCCTGAAGAACAGCCTGCTGTGGAAGGAGCAGATTGAACTGCAAGAGTCCTGTGAGGAGCTGAAGAGGCTCTTGATGGAGGCCCATGAGATGATCAGTGACTCTTCTGCTGAGCAGCAGCAGGTAGGCTGTGGCAGTGGGGGCAGGTGCCCACCTGTCCAACCATAAACATAGAGACACCCAAATAACCACCCACCCACCCATCTAAACTCCCACCTACATACCATCTAATTGTTGATTTCTGTGATCATTACCAAGTCTTTCTAGAGAGTTAGCCTCTTTCAAGAATCTGGATAATTGTCAAGCAAACCCTCCTGCTCTGCTAGAAGCTGCAGTACATTCAGAGAGATGGGTCAGTCACATAACACACACCTACATGTCATTATGATCAGAGGGCTACTGCTATGGATGATTGATTGATAAATAAAGCACTGATAGGCCAGTAGCCAGGCAGGAAGTATAGGCGGGACTAGCAGAGAGGAGAATTGAGAGAACAGGAAGGCACAGAGGAGGAGCCACCAGCCTATCATCCAGGTAGCAGCATGTAAAGGCAGCAGGTAAAGCCATGGAACACGTGGCAACATATAGATTAACAGGAATGGGCTGAGTATAAGAGTAAGAGCTAGACAATTGTAGTCCTGAGCTAATGGCCAAGCAGTTTAAATAATATAAGCATCTGTATGTTTATTTTATAAGTGGGCTAAGGGACTGCGGAGCATTGCAGGACCCAGAGAGAAAAACTCTAGCTACAAAATGGCACCCAATGTGGGGCAAGAGTTTCCACCTAAAACCTGAGAAAAAAGATTCTAAAACAGAGGTAAAAATAGTTTCCTAGTTGTCTCTCATGTTAAAGGCAGCCTGCGTGTTTGAACTACTCTCTGGTGGGTTAGTGGTGTGCGTGCAGTATTGACTATGTTACACAGAGATGTCTCCAAGCTGCACACTATGCTGTGTGTTGGATATAGTTTTTGCTAGTTAAGAAAAAAAAAAGAGGTTTCTGGGCTACACGCTGCTTTGATAAAAGCATAGGCCCACTACTTCTGATAGTTGATGGTTCACATAACTCCAAACTCAGAGCTGGCGGTAAATTGTACCACCACCATGTTGGGAAGCTGAGGTGGGCGGAGCCATCAGCCACAGCACAGTTTCAGTCTTACAAATGCTGCAGTTTGAAACAATAGATTCACAATAAGACAGATTCAGGTGGAACAAGACTTTAAAGGCTTTACAATGTGTAAAAATGTACATAGGCTTGGAAGAAAGAAAAAATATATATATACAGTTATATAAAGAAATAGGTAGTTTTTAAATAAAGTCTTTAAAGAGACAGTAAAGGTAGTATAAAAAATAAGCCATTTAAAGATGGATATTACACAGAGAATCTTTATTGTGTTATCTTTGGGATTTTTAACTGCATGAAAACATTTGATCGTAAAAGCTGTTGAGTTAAACAAATATGTATATTTTAAAGGTACCTTGATTTCAAAATTTGGATGTAAGAAAATTTTGCTTTGGAAAGGAGGCTCTGCTTTTGTTTCCACAGAAAGCCAGAAGCTATGGATTTGTTCCAGATTAAGATACATCAGGTTTGACCAGCCAAGACCCCCTGAAAGGTCTCTGATGACACCATGGCCCAGATGATCCAACATCCAAAATGGTTTCAAGGCAACTGGCTTAGACAATAAACCCTCACAGACTACTCCATAATCCTAAAATTTTCTTTATGTCCCCATGAGATACAGCGCCCCCCTCCAGCAGGAGGTAGTAAGAAAAACTACGCACAAATTCCCAAATATTCCAAGCTGGCATTAGAGATGGAATTGGCTCACTCCTTCTCTAAACCCAAACATACTACTAAAAAAAAATGTTAAGGAATTCCTTTGTCCCATATCAGAAGAGCCCTCTGATGTAGGACAGAGAAAAACCAATATTTTTATTTAAATCAGATTGATTATAAATGTGATCTCTTTCTAAAGAAAAAAGGGATATGATATAGATATGATAGGATAAAAGGGTAAATTATTGAATCTACTTTTAAAGAGCAACTTGCTTAAAATGTTTTACATTGCTATGGATTTCAGTTTATTGATACAAGTTTAAACTTAAATTTGTTATACTGTATAAAGATTTCTATTCTCGTTTGAGGTATTATGTTTATGTAACTCATTTAGATTGTAATGGATAATTAAGAAATACAGATTAATAATTAGTGTTCTATGATAGTCACACTTGTAACATGTTAGTTAAGTTTTCTAGGCATACATAGATATATTTCAGATAGATAGGTAATCTTCAAATACTTCAAAGACCTACAGAATATGGCATTTAAAATATTTTTCAAAATTTAGACTTTCTGGACAATGAGACATGTCTGCTCCTGGCAGCAATAATTTACTTCAGAGAGGAGGATGGGCATCAAAACCACTCCATGTGGAGTTTATCTTCACGTTGGCAAAAAAAAAAAAAAGTCATTTGGGCAAGAAACTGTTCTTGCCTGGAATGCTTGATCAACTGGACATGCAGGACCCATAGGAAGGTGACCACTGAACTTTGCTTGGTGAAATGGTCCTTCAGGTTCCTGCTTACCAGAGGAAACTGCCAGACATTCTACAGGACACAGAGAGAAATGACTGGGAGACTCTAGGCGTGTGGGCTGAAGTGGGTGCCCCAACTTTACAAAGGAACATTAGGTGACTGTCCACTCTTCCAGCTGTCTCTGTCTACCCTTCAAGACTCCCAAAAGTTACTTGTGTCCTTCTTCTGTTTCTCAGATAATATTATATCCTTCTGGGGCCTTTGATGTAGTTGAAGCTAGATAGTTACAATTTTCCTTTGTTATGATAACAGATAAGGTAAATATAAAACCTTAGACTCACAAATATAAGATAGATATGTTCTTTAATATTGTAACTATAATTCTTGCTAGATAATTGTTTTGTTATATGTAATTTTACTATGTTAAAGTTAAAACCTTCCTTTTTGAAAATAAAGAAAAAGGGGAAGTGCTGTGGATGATTGATTGATAAATAAAGCACTGATTGGCCAGTAGCCAGGCAGGAAGTATAGGTGGGAATAGCAGAGAGGAGAATTGAGAGAACAGGAAGGTGCAGAAGAGGAGCCACCAGCCTGCAGTCCAGGTAGCAGCATGTAAAGGCAACAAGTAAAGCCATGGAACACGTGGCAACATATAGATTAACAGAAATGGGCTGCATATAAGAGTAAGAGCTAGACAATGGTAGACTTGAGCTAATGGCCAAGCAGTTTAAATAATATAAGCATCTGTATGTTTATTTTATAAGTGGGCTATGGGATTTCGGGGATTGGTGGGACCAAGAGAGAAAAACTCTAACTACAGGCTACTATGCAGGGAGCTACTTAGGGAACAGCACAAAGCTTTCATTGATGATGTCAGTGGCCTGTGGCTCATTTGCTTTGCAAGGGTCATATGAGATCACAGGGAGGAATCAGCCTTCAAGGACTAGAGCCCAGTGCCTGTGCCAAGTGAGGGGTTCTCATTGTCAACGTTTTGGGTGGCTTGTGGTCTTCTCCTTTCTTCCTGCATCCCAATGTGTTCTCTTCCTTTTGCCAAGCTCTTGGTCATAGTGACAGAAGCCTGAGTACCACCTTGTCAGTCCTTTTTCTGGGCATGGTGCTGGACAGTTCTCCGGGAGCATCCTGGAGCTTCCAGTCTGGAGCTGCCTGGATGACCATAGATTTGGGTGGACTTTGACAGGCTGAGGGTTGGTGTGACAGATTTGAAGCTTCAAGTTAACATGTTCTCCAATCTCATCAACATAGTCTGACTAACTTGTGTGTTCCCCTAGGAAGTTTTAGGCCCAAAGGGATGGATTGCCATATTGTGAGTCTCAGTTGAAACACCTGATGTGCATAGTCTAAATTCAGCTGTTTATTCAGCATGACGTCCTCTTCACTTTTTTCTTCTCACTTCTGATTTCTGTGGTCTGTGTATGATCTATGCAGCCGTGTGTAAATGTGTACATTGGTGGGTGTGTTCAGAGACTACATAATGAAATCCCGTGTTGTCATCTGTTGCTCACTCCCTTATTCCCTGGAGCTCAGGTCTTTCTCTGAACCTGATATTTTCTCTTTGGGCTAATCTGGCTGTCCAGCACTCTTGGGATCTCCTGTCCTCCAAGGTAGACCTTCTGTCTTGTTTATTCTCATCCAATTCCTACAAGTTTCAATTGCTCAGAAAAAGGAAGGATGTAGTAGCTTTCTCTTTCTTCATTTACTTTTATTGTTTTGATGTTAATGTGGTTTCTAATAAATAACAAAAATCAAACAATACAGATGTTTTAAAAATAAACAGTAGGCACAGAGCTAAAACCACAGGAAATGCCTGGTTTGTCTCATTGACTTCACAACACAGAATCCCACAGTGCATCTTCTTGTTGACATTGTGTTTTGACTACATCATGTGCATGGCTGTATCTTAGAACATTTCCCTCTCATAGCTGTGTAGAGTGCTGCATTCTTGAAAAGCTGTGTAGGTCACTTCACTGGCCTCTTTCTGACTGACATTGGGGCTATTTTCATATCACATGCACTGCAACCTGTTACAAACTTCCTGGGTTTTGACCATGGGTCACTTTCTTTCTCTTGAACTAGGCAGGGTCTTCTGTGTAGGAGCCAGGGGAGGTTTAGTGAAGAGACTGCGATGGATCAACTTGGAAGCCATGTGATCAGTGAGTCTTGGGATAGATAAAGCTCATGAAAGTAAAAGTAAGTGCAGGCCAGGGTAGCAGAGCCTGGCTGAGTCTAAGAGCCTTGTAGACAGCAGAGTGGACCCACTCCCTCCCCCTGCAGAAGACTTTCTGAAAGGCAGCCTTTTCTACCTGGACATTCTGGGATCAGAAGTGTGTGTGTGTGTGTGTGTGTGTGTGTGTGTGTGTGTGTGTGTGTGTGTGTGTGTGTGCTGTGTGTGTGTGCTTGTGCTGTGTGTATGCTCTGTGATGCATTTCTGTACATCTCTGTTTGTGTGTGTGGACCTATATGTGTGTTTTTGTGTGTCTCTGTGTGTGTCTGCTGCCTCTGTGTATCATGCTGTATGCATGATAGTGTCATTTTGTGTGTGTGTGTGTGTGTGTGTGTGCATGTGTGCTCATGTGTGATTGTCTGTGTCCATGGTTCCTGCATGTATAGGTTTAAGTGCTGGTGTGTGTATGTTTGTGTGTATGGATGCTTATATGTGCAAGTATGTGTTTGGATGCATCAATATGTTCACTTTTTTGTGTATGAAGCATCTTTAATGATAATAGAGTCCAAGTTTGTTGAAAAAGTACTTTGCACACTCACTTTGCATCCATCTAATATTGTATGCTGCTGCCCATCTTTCCACATGTCCACTTTGCTCTCTAGGACAAAAAGGACACAAAACTACTCTAAGTCAATGGTTTTCAGGTAATTGTAGAGGGAATAATATTTATCTACAAGAAAAGTCTTTGGAGGATACCAAAGAAATATAGTACAGGAAGATGAGGAGGAAGCTTCTGTGGCAATCAAGGTGTCTGAGAGGCAAGGTAGGCTGACTGAAGATTTCTGTCCCTTCTCTGCTCTGCATGAATGGTGACTGCACACTCAGTGGTCATTGGCTCACTGTGTCTTCTGGTGCCCTGTCTTGTCCTCATCCACATTGCCTGCTACCACTTTCTTTCCACCTTTGCCTAACTTTTCTCAGTTATCATTTTCCTTAAAGGTAGGACTGGATGTTATTTGTTGAGGGATTCTGACTTACGATGTGGTTCTAGCTGCATCTGAGTTCATCAGAAATTCCCTAGCCATGCTGTGGTGTGAGAATGGGGCTGTCTCAGTACACACCCTAGGCTCGTGATGGTCTAAAGCACTCACCACATGCTGTAGCACTCAGTAACTGCTTTTCTTCAAAGTTCTTCATTTTGAGTTAAAATCAGCCTCATGGAGGGTTGGGAGCAATGAGGACTCTCAGACATTGCTGGTGGTATAACATAATATAGCACAGTGAGAAGCCACAGACTCTTCTTCAGAAAGTTAAACTGAAGTTCACAGGTGAACCAGTGATTCCAGAATACGAAGTAGGTGTCCAAGGAGAAGCTAGGGGACATTAGTGTTGTAGTAGCATTCCTCAGAGTAGCCTAAAAGTAGAAACTATCTAGATGTCCATCATTCGCTGAGTGAAAAAGTACAATGTGATTGAGCCCTTCCATGAATTATTGTTCAGCACAAAATAATACATGCAATCATTTGGCCCTGATATAGTCAGCCTTTTGTTGCTCAAAGAAATCCTTGACACAATCGCCTTACCAGGAGGAATTGTTGATTTTGACTCCTTGTTGTGGCAATTTTCTAGGTTCCTGGGCTCTTGGGTTTTCTTGTTTCCTGAGCTCGTTTGCTCTGACATGAGGCAGCCTGTGGTAAAGGGAGCTTCTTTTGGGGAAGTTGCTCACCTTGGGGCCAAGTGGGAATTAGTGAATAAGACCAGTGAGCTGGTCCAGTTGTCCTCTGCTGGGGAACATTCCTATACTGCACAGCCTGGGGAACTTCCTAAGCAGGGTTGGCTAACCAACCAGTACCCCAGAGGTCCATATGTCTGTGCATTAGGGTCACAGGATAGGCACTTCAATGATTGAGCTGCCTGTTTCTCATGGCCACTGTATTCTTCTCTCATCCTACAAAAGTAAATATTCTTCTCAATAGTATCCCTGGTGATTGTTCCTTATATTAACATTAGCTGGGAAATTAAACATGTTACTGCATTAAAGTGTGCTTGTATGTGTGCACACATGTACTTGTGTGTGTTCATGAGTTTGTTTGCATGTGAGTGAGAGACCCTCCACTGAGAACACAGTCTTCTATTAAACAGGAGCAAGAGAGCCTGGATGAAAGACTAAAGGACCTGTTGAAGCAGGAGGAGCTGGTAACCCAGCAAAAGGACATGGCAGAAAAGATGCAACATCACTTCAACGTCTCTGAGATAAGGTAGGAGCACAAGCTTGGTGGAGCAGTTAGAACCATGTAGGTCACCTGTACCTGGATTTCTGTCCTTTGGGGGATTATTCCAATCTGGATGGCTCTCAGCCAGAGCCAGGGAAAGAACACCTAAGGGTATTGTGCTGGCTCAGTCAATGAGAACTTCTCCAGAAAACACTATGTTTGATTGATCCTTTGTGTTTCTGGGGAGTGTGTATCCCTTATTCCTTTCTGAGCTCTCTGGTATCTTCTCAGTACCTTGTCCCCTGTGTCTCCCCACAAATCTCCTTATGGCAGTCCTCAACCTAGCAGGAGGAGGGTTAGTTGTGGAGGACAGTGTGTGCTCCTGCCACTTTATTTTCCTTCCAGAACATCACCTTTAAAGAGAAGTTCCTACCTTTGGACAGATCTGCATGCAGCACACTCCTGCAGACTACAGGTTCTCTGCAGTGTGCATCTGTTTCCTGTGAAAAGATTTTTCTGTTAAAAGAAGATTTAGGGGTTGAGGAGTTGAACCTAGGCAGGTTTGTATACTGAAGGAATAATCAGATCCTTCACTGCTTTTACTTTGTAGGATCTCCTAGATGGTCTACATTCAATTTCCCAGGCTGCTCACATTCACCTGGTATCTAATCAAGGCCATGAATTTTCTGACAGTTTAATGTCGATGGCTTTGGCAAGCTGACTGAGCCCTCAGCCCTCTCTAGGTGGAGGGAAATCTGTCATGGAAGACGGTTGATGTCAAGCTGTTCCTGACAGACTACAAAAAAAAACATAATTTTCATTCTCCATGCCAGTGTTGAAGCTGACTCCATGTCCTGCACAAGCGTTGCTGAAGACAATGCACCACAGAGATCTCCACTGTCCCTCATTCCCTGGGTGAGACACTTTTTCCTGCATATTTAAAATCAGTGGGTATGTCTCCATTTCTCAGCCTCAAATGAATTGCCTTGTCCTGAGAAAGGATTTATAGAAGACATCTGAGTCATCTTTGATGTTTTTTGGTATTCAGATGCTGCCCACATATTTGTGGAATCTCTAATAAGCACACAAGTGTCTGTATGCTGAAAGAATCAAATAGTGACCAAGACATTACAGGATCAGCAGTGGGTGATAATTTATCAAAAGCTTCCCAGAGGGACACAAAGAATGCTCTAGAAAATCTCTCATTCTTAGTCTCAGTAAGGGCTTGGCCTACAAAGCCTGCAGGAGGCATGGCTACAGTAGCTTTGAAAAAGGCTTTCACATTCGCTGACTGCCTTCCTACCATGTTTCCAAGGCCAGTCACAGGCTGTAGGTCTGTGCTGCTAAAAGTGCAGCAAGAGAATGCTGCTGGCCTTAATTGTTTTTGTTTTTGTTTTTGGTTGGGTTTTGTTTGCTTTGGGATTTCTTGTTATAGATTGAGATTTTGATATTTATTTTTTCTTTCTTTTGATCTTGTAGTTTTTTGGGTATTTTGATAAGGCTGTTCACTGTTTATATTGACTTCTCCCTTTAAGCCCCTATTGAGTAATATTACTGTGTTTTTATTAATAATAAAGTGATTTTGAACTTTTCTGTCTTAGAACCTATTTCTTTGGTCAGGTGTGTTGTCTCACTCCAGTACCCCAAAACCTCCTGTAACACCAGAACTCTTGTGTGCCCAGCTTGGGCTACAGAGTGGGTTCCCAGGCAGCCAGGGCTACACAGAGCTTTGGATGTGGATGGTGTTGTCAACTCCGTGGATTCCCATTGCATGATGGAAAAAGTATCCATACTTCATCCTTGTGGACATATATTTAGCTATCTCTAACTATAGCATTCTGTATACCCACTTCATGATGTGATCATGTGCACCACATTCATGAGAAATACAACAGTGTTGCTGTAAAGCCTCTCAGGAAATGAGAACATTTACTAAAGGAGTATGAAAGAAATCCATGGCCTGCTTGCCACCTGGAGCCATGATGATGTCCCTGCCTGGTCTGCTGCTAAGGGCCATGTCCTGTCCATGGCCCTGACACAGCTGTGGGAGTCTGTGTTGATACCCATGCATCATCCTCTACCACTGAGGGCCTGGCAGCCACCTGCAGTCTTGGACACCACCTGTGACCATGTTAGTGTCAAAGGGATATGCCCCAAAGGGGACATATGTGTCTTAGAAGCCTGTGCTGCCCCCTAGGACCATAATGACATCAGGGCTGGAGCTATTACCGAGGGTCATGTCTGGGTCTATGGCCCTGCTGCAGCCAGGGTCTGTGTTGATATCTCAGGCATCTGTTGTCTTCAAAGATTCTTGGAATTTGGGCTACCACCATGGGTCATGGTACTAGTGGGTCCCTGCCAATTTGTGTGACCTTCATTGCCAACCAGAGCCATGGTGATATCCAGCCCTGGACTACAAATTTGGAACATGTCTGGGTCCATGCTGCAAACACAGCCAGGATCATTGTTCATATCCACAGCCTGTTGACCACCAAGGGTCACACAGAGGTACGTAGGGGTCTGGGCTCTCACCTAGGACCATGTGTCTAAGTTGTGTGTTCCTGCAGGAGCCATACAGATCTGACTGGCCTGTGCTGCCACCAGGGACCCTGGTGTCCTCCAGGCCTAGGCTGCTGTCAAAGGCCATGTCTGGTCTATTGTCCTGCCACAGACTTTGTCTATGTTGATGTCAGTGGCTCCTTTTACTACTGAAGACAGGATAGAAACTCAATGAGTTAACCCCATACTTCGCTGGCCTTAGTACTAGTGACATCTGAACTTGCCCCTCACCCACTGCAGTACTGGGGAGAGTAGGTTATGCACCTGGACAGAGCAGCACAGTAGAGGTGACCCTGTTGGTTGTGGTGTCAGTGAGCTGGCCCTGAGATTGTGAGAGCAGAAGAACTGAGTCTACCCACTTCTGCCTTGTGTTGGCCAGGGTATGGGAAAGATCCCTGCCTCACCTGATCAAATGCCACCTGCAGCTGGTGGGAGAGTGGGACTTTGGGCATGAGAACAGAAGAGCTTGGTCAGCCTCTCACCAACTGTAGGAACTGTGTTTGTGGGCCTGGTACATCACCTCAGCAAAGCACTAGAGCTGTCCCTTTACTCTGAGTGTGGGAAAGTCAGATTTGAGAGCATGAGAACAGGACAAAGGGCCTCTCTCCATTCTGCCCATTGCATGAGGTGACCTCGGTGGGGCAGTGCTGGAGAGCTTGCCTGGGTGGAGAAGATGAAGGAAAGCTGGCAGCCTGACCATCCCAGGTACCCCCAGCAAGAACCATGGCTATGAATTATCCAACCCTAACGTCATCTTTATCCCTGGACTGCTGGAGCAGGTAAAGGGCCCAGTTCTGAAGATCTAAATCTGCAGTATCTCTGTGACACAAGGCATCAATAGGATATCCAAGAAGAGTACAAGTGAAGGTCCATTATCTATAGTGTAGAGAAGCCAGAGAGGCCAGGAACACTTACAAGAAAAGATGTATGGACTAAAGAGTATACTGTGTGACTCACTGGGCCACACTAAACTTCCTTGCCAAGACTTGTTTGTTTGTTTGTAAATTTGGGTTTTCAGTTTTCCTTTAAATTTTATTTTGATTAGGACAGAGCTCAGATGTGATGGAAAGGATAAGGGGAAAAGTTGGATTGGGATGCATCATGTGAAACCAACAAAGAATAATAAAGCATTTAAAATAAAAAAATAGAAAAACCAGAGCTATCTGTCCCTGGTTTCCTTAAAATATAGCATCAGTGAAAAACCAGACTGTAGACAGAATGAATTCCAAGATATGTTGGGACTTTTTTGGCCTCAACTACGAATGGGTTCAATTTCTTAAAGATTTATTTCTTTTATTTATATGTATGGACATTTTGCCTGCAGCAGGGCTGCACACCACATGCATGCAATTCCACCAGAGGCCAGAAGAAGGCATCAGATTCCAGCTGAACCTGGAGTTACAGTGGCTTTTTAGCTGCTCTGTTGGTCCTTTGGGAGAGAAACTACTCAAAATGCAGCAGCCATCTCTCAAGACCCTGCACTTGACTTTTGTCCTTCTAGCCATGTGTGCTATATTAGTTTGACTGAATCACTCACAAGCAAAGAGAAATTTCAGGAGACCAGTAGGGACAAACACATGATGTAGGCATGCTAATTGTCTTAGTATACTAGGCATCCATGCAAGGCGTTGGTGGGTTCAGGATCCTGCTCCAGCATCACTTATTGTCAGGGTTGGAGCAGATCTCTCACATCTCATCCTGGATGACAATGAAGATTAGGGCCATCTGATGAAATGCAGAATTGAGAAGACACTCCTGGTGGTGGAGGTGTGGATAGGAGTCCCTCTTGATGATCCAGCTAAGCAGTGTTGGGAGGAAGCTTCACACCAGCCAGAGTGGATGGAGCCTGCAGCAAAAGAGACGTGCCAGTCTTGAGGAGCATTTCTGTACAAGGCTAGGAAAGGAGAGGGATGGTGGATGGTGCTCTTTAACCACAGCTGATCTCATTGTGTCCTGAGGAAGGGTTTCTTCCAGATGAGTGCTTTATTTTTATGAAGCTCCCCTGGACCAGATCTGCCTTCTGAGACTGACAGTGAATCAGAGAGTTAATGTGTGGAGGAAGTAATCCTGTGGGACAACAAACTGGTGGTGTCAAACAAGGGTCGAAAGAATCTACTCTTTATGAATAAAGAACATAAACACACAGACCATCAATACAGATACAAAGCTTATGAATTCCATGGATGACATGATCAGCTGGAGAGACGGCTCAGTGGGCAAAGGTCTGCTAGGCCTACAGACCTGAGTTACTTCCCTAGGACTCACATGATTGAAGAAGAGAACAAACCTCTGAGAAATTGTCCTCTGATCTTAATATGAGTGTGGGTACATGGTCATGGTCCACAAAAGCTAATACTTTCTATTCCTAAGGCTTTCTATTTCTCATTTACCCTAGAATCTTTCCATCTGAGGCCCTCTTTTAATTATATTACTCTGCATTCCATTTGAGAGATTTGGGACATTTGCTATTTTATTCTTGTTGCTGAGATGTTACAAGATCTAAGAAGGCCAACAGCAAAGCATCACCTGAAGAATGGTGAAGGGAAGGTGGCCACTGGGAATGTATGACATAGCTGAGACACAAACTACTCTAGAATGTCTTCTCTACATGCCTGGTGTACTGTTCAGGGCTCTCTAGAGTAACAGAAGTTATAAAATGATCCTCTCTATGGAAAGAATATTTGTTAGAATGGCTTAGAGGCTGTGCTCTAGCTAATCCAACAATATTTGGCTATGAATGGAAAGTCCAGGAATCCATTGTCTCCCAGCACCCAGCTGGACTAAGAGGTGAGTCTTTATCTTCATACCTGAACACCCCAGCCCCTAGGCTTTGGTTCCAAGGGCACAACCCTGAGCCCCTAAACTACCACCCATTGCAGTTCTGGTTTCAGTCCAGTTGGCGGACAGACCTCCTGCACACAGGTCAGTCTACCACCATCCCCCATCAGACCCTGTAACCCAAGCCCCACCTCCCCCAAATCCCACCCACCCTCGGAGACTGCACCTGTTCCCTGAGACAGAGCCTGCCAGCACCTGACTGGACTAAGAGGTGAGTCTTTATCCTCATACCCAAACACCTCAGCCCCTAGGCTGCACCTGTTCCCTGAGACAGAGCCTGCCAGCACCCGACTGGACTAAGAGGCCAGTTGGCAGGCAGAACTCCTGTAGACAGGTCAGACTGCCACCATCTACCACATGCTAAGACTGCAGTTACTCCCTGAGACAGAGCCCACTAGCACCAGTTGGACTAAGAGCTGTTCCTTGAGACAAAAATTCCATCAGCATCGATCAGACCAAAAGCCCCCACTAGATCAAGAGTATCAATCAGACCAAGAGAGGCTCCCTCAGACACAGACACCACTTGCACCAAGTGGAGAAAGAGATGGGTAGACGCCAGTGCAAAAATACAGTCAACAACATAAAAACCAATATGGCTCCATATCCAGAACCTACATCAGCAAGACCTGATCATCCCAACACAGAAGAAACAGAAGATATCTACCATAAAAATGACTTTAGGAATATGTTAGAGATCTTAAAAGAGGAAATGAAAAATTTCCTTAAAGAAATCAAGGAAAAGTCAAACCAAAAGTGGGAAGAAATCAGTAAGTCCCTTGAAAGCCAAGAGAAAGCAATTAAACAAGTGGGGGAAACAGTTAAAGATTTCAAAAATGGAGACATTAAAGAAGACACAAACTGAGGTAATGCTGGAAGTGGAAAATCTGAGTAAACGAACAGGAACTACAGATGCAAGTATAACCAACAGAATGCAAGAGATGGAAGAGCGGATCTCTGGCATTGAAGATACGGTAGAGGAAATAGATTCATCAGTCAAAGAAAACACTAAAGCCAACAAAGTCATGACCCAAAATGTCCAGGAAATTTAGGACACCATGAAAAGACCAAACAATAAAAGGAATAGAAGAAGGAGAAGAAAACCAACTCAAAGGCACAGAAAATATATTCAACAAAACCATAGAAGAAATTTTTCCCAAACTAAAGAAGGAAATGACCATAAAAATACATGGGGTC